ATGATCAGGGGTCAGCAGGGCAGGCCCTACAAGGAGAGGCTAAGGGACTTGAACCTGTTCAGCCTCCACAAGAGAAGGCTGAGGGGGCATCTAGTGGCTGTTTACAAACTAGTCGGGGGGGACCAGCAGGCATTGGGGGAATCCCTGTTCTCCCGAGCACTCCCAGGAGTGACTAGAAATAACGGTCACAAGCTGGCAGAGGGTAGATTCAGACTGGACATCAGGAGGTGCTACTTCACAGTCAGGACGGCTAGGATCTGGAACCAACTTCCAAGAGAAGTGGTGTTGGCTCCTACCCTGGGGGTCTTTAAGAGGAGGCTGGATGAACACCTTGCTGGAGTCATTTGACCCCAGTGCTCTTTCCTGCCATGGCAGGGGGTCGAACTTGATGATCTGCTCAGGTCCCTTCTGACCCTACCAACTATGAAACTATGATTTATATTTACTATTAGGCAAACTAGATTCCCAGTAAAATCACAGGGATCATGAAATAGATGCTTCAGTATTTATTACAATGCAAGTACATTGCATGCAGGATATCATCTGAAACATGTTTTTTGTATCTCTCATAATCATGACCAGTATCATAGCAGTTAGATACCAAACTATAGGATAGAATGCACTGACAAGTTAATTTGGCATGATAAACCTTGGACTCCCATTAAACACTCCTCATAAAATAGCTGTTCTTAAAGTCTTTTAAAATCCTTATGTTTCAAAAACCACAATGATGATTAAATGTGTGTTCAGTACTCCAGAGTGACATCTGTCAAAAGCATTAATTCTGCTGGTGCTTTCACAATTTAATTAAGAGTCTCAAAAGGTTATTCTGTGTTCTCAGTTGGAGGATTTCAGGTAGATTTGGTCCAAGATCAGTAGTATCATTTTCTGTCTCTCTTTTCATCGTCTGAGCAACTGTAGTGAATTTTAGGTTTGAACTTTGCAGGATTAGATTTAACTTCTATCCACAGTGTAACCCCTTTAAATATTTGATTAAACAATCATTCCATCCTCTTGAGTTGCAGCAAAGCTACCTTACTTCTATGAAGACCAAAAAATCAAAGTTAGAAAACCAAAATGCTGCTTCTGACAAAAGTCTGAATGATTCCACTTCTTCCCCACTCCACCCCAAAATAAGTTTTTCAAAATGTGACCATCTCTATGTGGGACTACTCTAGACCTGACCTTTTGTGTGGTCTTTGATAAACTCTTCTATAAGATTCCAAAATATTTCATTTGTTTGTTTGTTCGTTTTGGTTTCAGATGAAATCATGCATCAGGATATCGCTCCCCTCTGTGCTGCAGATATTGAGGACCAGTTAAAGAAACAATTTGCCTACCTGTCAGGTAAGGACAGCTTCTATGCAGTGTTCAATTTATCATTTCCACTGCCGTGCTTTCACATAGCTGCTGATTCTTAATATCATGGTATCCCATGCCTGGTGATCTGCGTTTGGAATTATTCATAATTTCCTCCTTTGGAATTTACCAAAAATGATAAATACAATTGAAATTTAGAGAATATTAATCATCTTGAGTAGTGCAAGCTGGCTGACTCTGTAGGCAGCACAACAGTACTCTGCTGAGGCCAGGTCTGGCACTTTCCTGATGCTTGCACATGCTGGTAGTTGTAAGGGAAGGAATTTACCAGAGAGGGGCATGTCTCAATCAACTGATTAATATTAATTAATTAATGTTAATTAATAGAACAACCTCTCTTGTGAAAGGGGTGGCTGAATAGAATGTACCCTATGGGTATTTGTCAGTCCAAGCTGGCTTGCTCTGGACTTTGGGCTTTTCAGAGCAAACTAGGAGCCTTGGTTTGGTTTGCTGGTTAAATGATTTGTATATACACAGAAGGTCATCAAACAGAACTGGTTATTATTGGGAACAAAGGGAGATAACAATAAGGAACAAAGTAACAGTGATACAATACCAACAGAGAGATGAAAAGCCATCACAGCAGTAATCCTTCAGGAACAGAAGTTGATTCCCATTGCCAGCCAGTGCTGTGCTGCTTCATTATCAGGCAACCATGCTCACTTGCACTCACTCTTTCCAAACTCTGAGTACTCTGAACAGGCTCACAGCCTTACACTCTGCACTTCACAGGCATAGATTACAGACCCACTGATCCACAGACCCACTTAGCCTTCCTCCACCAATGCACATCAACCCACAACCCATGCACACACAATCTTTGGCAACTTGGACATTTATAGTCCAAGATCACCTCATAGGTCTGAATCAATTGGTGCCAGATCTGTACTGTTAATCAGGGCTGTGTGAAGCTTTGGTCCCTGATTCAGTTTGGTGGAGGTTTGGCCCAATTCCAAGGAATCTCTGAATCTGAATCAAATTGGGAGACTCTTCAGTCTCTCCAAATCAATTTGGAGAGATTCGGACATAGGCACAGCTTTAAATGGGTTTTTTTCTACATATCTCAAGGTAGCAGGCAGCTCATGAATGCTGCGATGCTGGGACAGATGGAGTGTCCGACAGGAGTGCAGGGGGCTCCCCAGCATGCCTCGGCAGCAGACCCAGAAGTGGGCCAGGAGCACCCAGAGTCCCCCCATGACCAATCACTGAGCTGGGGGGGTGGGGGGCACAGGTGGGCACTGGGGGGCCCCAGCGCACTCCCTGGCAGACCCAGAAGTGGACC